CTACTTCCTCAAGACTCGTAAGGGTATGCTATATCAGCGTAACCTTATGTTTGTCTGACAAATTTTGAGGTATTCCAAGTATTTAATAAACTCCCAATCAGAATGCACAAGACTCGTGTTTTCTCACGTTATTTGATTGGGAGATAATTGAATAGGGGCAGCTGTCGTACCCCAAATTTACTCTACCTCGATAATCACATTTTCAAGCTTAAAAATAGAAAAGAAATGTTTAATTAAGGATGGTCTAGCAATATCTGTTGGCCCACTTTTTAAGAAGAATTCAAATCAACAAGAAGGGTGTATTTTAATTCAGGAGAGTGGGGCTTTCTAAATCAGAAAGACTCATATGTTCGTAAACCCATTCACGAAGCATGTTGGCCCACGGCCCATGAGATTCAAAAATGGAAAATTATTTCAAATAATTATTAAGTTTTTAATTATTATTAAGTCCATTAGGATTTATTGTCGTTAGTAAAAGAGGAGGTGAAAACTTCGGATCAAAGGCCCATTGTCATTTTTGTTTACATAACAAGGAGAGGTTGAATTCGCAAAATACGAGCCCAATTCATATTGGCCCACTTCTTTTAATAGCAAACAGTAAAGAGGAGAGTATAATTCTAAATTTATAGGCCCATTGGGTTTTGTTTTACGCTAAGCCCAATTAACTTTTTTGTCATTTACTGTTTTGTCTTAACAGAAAAACGTTATTATTAAAACTCTTTTATTTTTTTTCTTTTCTGAATTAATAAGAGATTTAATTTATTATTTATAAAAGAAAAAGGTTTTCTAAACTGATTTTGTGGACTTAATCTATTAAGAGTTTTCAGTTGCTGAGAAAATGCGAAAAGCCCAATTCGCTTCATATAATAGCGCAGCCCAAAAGTTTAATAACACTTACTGTTCTAATCATAACCCAATTGGCGCACATTTTTCCAATAAACAAATACTGTAGAAATTAAACCTAAAATTACATCAATCTTCATTATAGTCTATATCTAAAGTTGCAGAATACAACAAAATCAAATCCAAGTGAAATCTTTTACAAATCAGAATAAATTTACAGCACAATCAAATCTGTAGAAAATCCATATATGAAATCCGAAATTTACAGAGGATCAAATTAATTACAAGTTCAAATCTATAACTAAATCAATTACATTCAATTGAAATCAATAATAGCACAGATCTAAATCCCTAACTTATCTCCAATTCCTAAATCTAGGCTAACAATTTGTAACTCAAATCCGTAATGACGATTCAAATCAAAACCCTATAAATAGTGTACAGAAATTAACAGAGAGGAGGGGAGGAGGAAATCGAGAATATAGAGACGGAGAAGAAAACTGTGAAGCTTGTAGAAGAACGACGAATACGCAGAAATGGAAGAAGAACAGGGAAGAACATCGCCTCATAACCGGTTGAAAGAGAGGGAAGACAGTTAGGGTTTCAACATCTGAAACCATAACCTCCGTTGATATCACTGCCTCCAACCTCACTCCACCGCTACTTCATTTGCGAACACCACCTTCAAAGCTTCACTGTAACCTGCAAAAGCAAAGGAGAAAAGATGATCAAAAAACAAGAACTCGAGATCTAGAATACAGAAATCGCACGAGGGTAAAGCACTTAGCTCTTTTTTTGTTTATTTCTTCTTGTATTTGTTGGTAGGTGGTGGTAATCAAAGGGATTTTGGGAGCCGCCGCCGGGAGTGGGACGTTACGGCTAGGGTTAGGAAAGGGTTTTGAGAGAGTGAAGGGTGAGTGTCGCGCGAGAGAGAGAGAGAGAGAGAGAGAGAGAGAGAGAGAGAGAAAGGGGATATTTGTTGTAAAACCAAATGAATTGAAAAAATGTTAAACAAAAACAAATGTGAATGACTTGTTAATGTTCCGTTGTGTTCCTATGCCTGCGCGTCTAGCATAATTAACATAGTCCCTCAGTTTTATCCATCCGATCTTAATATGACGGCCATAGGCCAAGTCTCCACGATAAGGTTCGTACTCCCTCACCCACTCAATCAAACCGGACCCCTTCAAAAAGTTGTAATGGGCCTAGCCCGTTATTATTCACACCCCCATTCCTTGTCTTTACTAACTCAGAACTAGTGATGCACCCCCCTTCAAAAAAACATATTTGGACCTAGCCCAGATTCCTAAAAACACCCACACTCTTTTACTATATAACTTAAACTGCACCCCCTGAATTTAATTAATTAATTTTCTGTTTTTATAATTCATATTTTCTTTCTATTTTTTATATATTATTAATTTTTTTAATAAATTATTATCATTATTAATATTATTTTTTATTATCATATTATTACTTATTATCACATATTATTATTATTATTATCATCTAAATATATTTAATTTAAAACTCATGTTTATATATTTTTTCTATATTGCATTAACATATTTTTAAAATCATGCATTAATAAGATATTTTGCAATTAATATGATAAAAAAATATATAACAAATCTCAAACTATTTTTCGCAAATAAACTAATCTAAACAATCTATTTTCGCAAAAGGGTTCCAAATATATTTTGACTAATCGCGAATTTAGTCCAAATCTCTGCAATCTCTACAACCGGTCAAAATGCGAGACTATTCAAAATACATTTGCAACCCCTAAAAAACACAACCGACATACGAACTACGAATTGAAACTTTGATTCTTCATAAGAGGATACGTAGGCATACAATCAAAAATCATGGCGAGTTCCCTTATTAAAAATTTAAAATCCTATTTTACCCAAACTTAAACCCAAACCTAGTATCCTTAAGAATAATGTAGATGAAAGGTGCCTAACACCTTCCTTTCGTCTAGAACCGAGTCTGAAACCTAGAATCTCTATCTGCGAATTAGGGTTTCCTATTAGATGCCCTTCCCTAAGATAAAAACTGATAAGTGGCGACTCTTGATTTAAAATCCAGTCGCAACAACAATCGACTTAAGTGTTGGACTTCCATAGAGAGATCATTGTCGCCCTAAAAAGGCAATATAAATGTTGGACTTCAATAGAAAGATCCTTATCGCCCTAACAAGGAAATATAAATGGTGAACTTCCACATGAAGATTCTAACTACCCTAAAAAAGGCTAGTATAATGCTAAATTTTTCTAAAAATATCAGTGTCGCCCAAGGGAAATATAAATCCTAAATTTCCATGGGACATATCATGCAAAGACCACTTGATTTAAAGTCTTGCATGAGGGACTCACCAAAATCCCCGCTTAAGGGACTCAACGCAAAGTCTCGTAAAAAAGACTCACCTAAGAGACTCAACTCAAAGTATCACTTGAGGGACTCAGCTCAAGTCTCATCGGAACAACTCTATGTAAGGAAAACAAACAAATCACTTCGACCTTTCTAAGCCCTCGTGTTTGAGGGATTATGTATTTGTATATTTGTAAAATGCCCACAGTAAGGCAACACATAAGGCCCATTAAGAGGAGGCGATACAACATGTCACCCTCACTAGTCTCGTAGTCGTTCATTTATTTGTATGAACGCCCATTTTCGGGTTATGTCACACATTCCTTGAATAACTCGCCTGATTTGCATGAACGTGGGAAGTGACGTATCCCGATCAACAACAATGCGAAGAGAGAGTTTAAAAGGGAAATACATGATATCATGAGTAATAGGGTATTAGCTGCCACATTCCCACGCTTCTAGAGGTAGTTATTATTTATTAGGAGCTTGAAATTCAGGCCCAATGATTATATAAATACCTAAACCCTAAAGTTGAGAGAGATATAATCTCATTAAATAGATATCACATTTACAGAACTTCTCACCTCTCTATGTGAGTTAGCTTTAAATGTTACAGCGCACCCTAAAAAACTCTGATAACCCTTAATCTTATCAAGTATATTTTTCCATTTTATATATATTTTGTGTTAGATTTTCTGTTTAATACTTTTAATTTCATAAAGAAAAACTATATGGAATTTTTGTTGTTTTCTATATAATCCAACAATTTAAATCAATGAATAATAAATAATATCATTTCTAAGGTATACTGTGGATATAAAATAATTTTACTTATACAATCAATTGAAATTTTTATATTTAATATATTACTTTAATATTTTAAAAATAAAAATATAATTTATTATGATACATAGGTTAATGTGTAAAAACATTTACATTGTAAGAATATTTCCTTTTTTTTTTATTTCTAATAACGAAAATTATATTTTAAGTAGGTCTGAACACTTATTTTGTCCAAGACTTATTTGAGTATTTACTCCAATTTGTTTGAAAAAGCTCACCTAACAAAAAAATTAATTATTCGAAACTCATTTAAATACAAATCAAATTTCATCAACAAAAAAAAAACAGAAATCAAATTAAACTTAAATATTCTAATTAAGACCAGTAAAATACGTGTCATTTCTTCATGGATGAATCTAACTCAAACTGCAGAAAAACAAACACTGTCACTGTATTGATTCTCCTACTTGTCTTTTTCCACCATGACCGATTTCCACCACCACCAACACCGCCCGCACCGTATCTCCGTCCCACCGCGCACCACCGCCACTTCTAACCCTAACCCTAATTCAACCTTTCCATATTCATCATCAACCCCAACCCCTACCCCTTCCAAATCCAAACACCGTCTTTCATCATTCTCCTTCAATTCCAAACCAAATTCAAAATCCAATTCCAAATCCATTTCCTTCATCTTCCTCATCCTCTTCTCCCTTCGCTCTCTCTACTCCCTTTTCCCTTTCCTCCGTTCTTCCTCCCCTTCATTTTCTCTCTTCCCTTTTTCCTTTCTCGTTTCCCTTCTTTCCTTTTTCCTCACCCTCTCTTTCTCCCCCTTTTCATCTTCCAGAAACACTTTTCATAAACCCAAACAACAATCAATCTTCACTTTGTTTCCATCAATCTCAATCTCTCAGCACAGGGTTCTTATATCAAAATCGATTCTTTTAGCTTTCGTTTTCCTCCTACGGTTTTCTGCTCTTCGATACTGCAGCACTGCGGCGATGATAATCGCCGAGTTTATGGGAACTGTGACGGCTCGATGGTTCCAGAGAAATCGGAGAAACGGTTGGGTTGACATTCGCGGGTTTGTGTTGTTGTTTTTGGGATTGTTTATGTTGTCTTTTGGATGGGATAGGGCTGAGTGTTTTCCTTTTAGTAGAATTGGGGTTGATAATTGTGTTAGGGTTTGGCAATTGTTGCTTCCGTTTATGTCTGGGTTTATTGCTTGTTATGAACAAAGTGTTTCTGTTGATAGTTATGGGAGTTTTAAGCAATTGGATCGGAAACAGGTTCGGTTGGTGACATTGTTTTTCACTACAATTCTGCTTTTTGTTCCTGCTGTGATTAGTTATTTTGTGTATGAAGCTGGTGAAGATAGTGTTTCTTTTGGGAATTTGGCTTGGCCTTTGGCGAATACTGTTGTTTTCGGCGTGCTTTTGACTGAGAATTGTTATAGTGGTGACGATTTGATGAGTTTCAAAGACTCGAAAAGAGAGTTTTTGGTGATGTTTATGTGTACATTGATTTTGGAGCTTTTTTATTATCCTGATATTTCTCTTTGGGGTTTGTTGATTTGTGGTTTGTTGCTCTATGTGGCTGTTAGAGATTTGGATTCTTTTAATTCCGATGATCTTGTGTTCGGAGACGAGTCTTCGCAATTTTTAACTGAAATGGTTATGAAGCCTATTAGACATATATTGAGCGAGAGGAAATCGAGGAAAATTGCGCTTTTTCTTTTGATCAATGCCGGGTATATGGTTGTGGAGTTTGTTGCCGGGTTTATGAGCAATAGTCTTGGGCTGATATCAGATGCGTGTCACATGTTGTTTGACTGTGCTGCTTTGGCAATTGGGTTGTATGCTTCGTATATATCTCGTTTGCCTGCGAATAACCACTATAACTATGGCCGAGGAAGATTTGAGGTTCTATCGGGATATACTAATGCTGTTTTTCTAGTTCTTGTTGGAGCATTGATAGTTGTGGAGTCCTTTGAGAGGATTTTGGATCCTCAAGAGATTTCAACTAGTAGTTTGTTGGTTGTTTCTGTAGGAGGACTTATAGTTAATGTTATTGGGTTGATCTTCTTTCACGAGGAGCATCATCATGCTCATGGAATGTCTGGATCATGTTCACATTCGCATCCACATTCACACTCGGAGTTACATAACCACGACCATCATTATCATCATGAAAGCAACCGAGAAATCATTTCGGTTTCCAGTGATTGCCAAGATAAGTCATGCTCTGGTGATATTGGACATCACAATCACTCTAGTCATGAGAGGAAAGTTGTGTTTCTTGCAGATAATCACAACATTCAGAGCATTGAGCATCACATCGATGATCCCCGGCCGTCTGACCACCATGATCATAATCACCATGCTGATCATCATGATCATAATCACCATGAACATGCCCAGAAGCATGATCACCACGATCATAATCACCATCATGACCATAATCACCATGCCAACCACCATGACCATAATCACCATGCCAACCACCATGACCATAATCACCATGCAAGCCACCACAGCCATGATCATGATCACCATGACCATCACCACCATCATGAAGCGGACCATCATAGTCATGATGGCGTTCACCAAAAGCAAAGTCATTGCCACATCGATCACAATATGGAAGGGATATTCTTACATGTTCTTGCAGACACATTGGGGAGTGTCGGTGTTGTTATATCTACACTTTTAATTAAGTACAAAGGTTGGCTGGCTGCTGATCCACTCTGCTCAATTTTCATTTCGGTCTTAATCGTATCCTCTGTGATACCTTTACTCAGAAACTCGGCTGAAGTTTTGCTCCAAAGAGTTCCTAGGGCACATGAGCGTGATCTGAAAGATTCCTTGGCCAATGTTTTAAAGATAAAGGGTGTTTATGGCATTCAAAAGTTCCATTCTTGGAGCTTCACGAACACAGATGTAGTAGGAACACTGCATCTACACGTGTCAACGGATACCGACAAAATATCAGTGAAGTCTCAGGTTTCACATCTATTACACAATGCTGGAATAAAAGATTTAACCTTGCAAGTAGAATGTGTTACATAGTATTGTTTTGAGATAGTTCTTGTTAGCATCTTTGATTACTGAATATGCATACACTATTTGGAACAGAGATCAAACATGCTGATAATTTTCATTGGAATGTTTGATAATATTACAACATAAATTTATGTCTGTTTTCATTTCTGAGAGATGGTTGGTTTTGTTATGGATCTGTTTCTTGGGATCTAAGAATGTGCAGAGTTGTAACTTGTACAGAAATGTAACAAGAACATAGATTGTAGAAAAGAATACAAACATTGACTTGTTTTATGCCAAATCAGATATCGTTCTAGCCATGGTTGTAAACTGTGGTGTTGGATGCAATTGCAGTTACTGTCACTCTTATGATTTTACTCACAATATCAGAAAAAAGGGTCCAACGAAGACTAATTTGTGTTCAATTGGATGATAGGTAAAGTTTAGTCACAAATTGTTCCATCACATGGGTTGAATTCTGGTACTGACCGAGTCTGTCCGTCTACCATCCTAACTCATTTGAGAAATAAATAAAGACAAATTTGTAAGTGTTTCTCGATGTGATGAGTTCAGCAAAAATCATGGCGGGGCTGTGATTTTGTTGAAGTGAGAGAATGGAGATTTTGCAAAATCACAGTGAGTCGTCGGAGCCATTCTTTTAAGAGAATGGCTATTTGATAAATTTATTGAAGTTAAAGTAAGGAAAAGCGATAAAAGAAAAGAGACACAAGGATTTGTGAACACAGTTTTTCACTTTCATCCTTGCATGTGGATACATCTGTGCCCAATTCAAATGTGGAATTAGGATTCTTTCTTACTTTGCAAAAGTATGAATACAAGAGAAGTGTTCAAGAGCAACCCTACAAACCAAAATCGTTTGATGTTGATTCAACCTCTTTTCTTCCTTTGATCTTCAACAAAACCAAGACACAATAGTTACCAATTGATTATTTGGATCTTGCTACTCCTTTGTATACTTTATCTCCAAATCTTTCGTGCACTATCAATTATACCTATTGCAACCACAAGACTTCAATTTTAATTCGCCGTTCTCTCGCTACTTTCTTTGCGTTCTTTATCTCCAAAGAACTTCACTTGGCCGTAATTACCTCTTGAACGTCTTGCACGAAAATCCTCAAAATTAATCAATGATCTTGGAGGACAAGCTCGCAGTTTTTCCGGATGAAGACTGTAACACCCTATTTTCCCAACAGTAATTTTTATAAAAATCGGAGTAAAATAAAACTCCAAAATAGGATGTCATATCATTCAACATATTCAAATTTGCTCAATTAAGATAAATCAGATACATAACATACATTTCAGATGAACCGACAACATTTCAACATAGTCTTCAAACTTCAATTTTATTAACACAACAGAAATTTTTTCATAACTATTCCAAAATCTTCGACTATTATAAAATCAACAATTAATCAATTAAAAAGAGAGTCTACAACACTCCCAAAATTCCTCAAAGAAGACATCAACTAAAATAAAACAGTCGAGCATTCATTCCCCGGTGTTAGTATCAGAGCAATGACACCCAATCAAAATAAAAGGAGCAACCTCTCCTAGACTCTGCGACTTCGCACTACTCCTGGTTATCTGCATGTTATCCACGTAGAGGCAACATTCAAACAGTAAGGGTGAGATATCATGACAATATAATAAGTAATATAATTACGAGTAAACAACAGGTATATCGTGTAAGATTTCAAGTTCGACATTTATTAGTCACATCACTTCAACAAGTCCACAGTTCAATAATTTCACTATTCAACAATTTAACAAATGCATTACAACTGACTCTGATGCAAGATGTATGTGGTACCATCAGGACATAAGCCCTCAACATTTACCATAAAGGTCATGGCATAAGCCCTCAACATTTGCCATAAAGGCCAGGGCATAAGCCCTCAATGATGCATGAAATGCGACATGCTACAACCAAAATTATGCAATTCAAATCATACCATCAACATCAAGCTAATTTTCAGACCAATATCATCTTCTTATTACTGCAACATCACCTGTAAATTCTTCTCACATCATTACGACAACACACAACTTATCACGATATTTTAGTGTCATGACTCATTCAACATACACATTCATCGCAATCGTTCCGATAAAATATTAGACCACTGTTATAAAAATTAATTTCATATTATAGAAAATATTTTTAGCTTTCTAACGGTTCAAACAGTGCGTCAAACAGACATCCGAGGCGAAAGTTATGATTTTTCAAAGTTTCCAAAAATTATGTCAGCTTTAGCGGTAACCGGTTACCCATTTATGGTAACCAGTTACTGCAAGACAGTAACCTTGCTTTTTCCAAAATTCTTCGCGGTAACCAGTTACCCAGTTACGGTAACCGGCTACTGCAAGTCAGTAGCTAAATATTCAAAAACACAAACATCGGTAACCGGTTACCCAGATATGGTAATCGATTACCCATTGCAGACAGACCCAAAATCGTGAATTTTCTGCTACGAAATTCCATCATCTTCATCCAAAAACCACGTTTCCTGAAAGATCAAACACATAAATTATTTTAAATTATTAACACACATCATATACCACAATTCCAACACAATTAACACATCAATCTCATCATTTACAAGCAATTACAACAATCAATTTCACAATAATTTACCCCAAAACCCAACATTCAATATCATCCTCTATCCATAATTAAACCACCTATTAGAGAGTCATAATCCCACCTTTACCTTAGGTTTGATGATTCTAAGCTCTCTACCGGAGATTCCTCGCTCTAGCTTGTATGCTCTTCTCTTCTCTTCGTTCTTCTCTTCTCACTTCTACGATTTATTCCTCGTATTTTTACTTCTGTTGTTCTAACTATACACTTTAGACCCTGAAATCTATATACCAACGTTGTCCCTCCTCTTATTACTATGTTTATTTTAATTATTAATTATTAATATCATAAGTTATTATTTATCTCTTATAATAATAGTAATAATAATAATAATAATAATAATAATAATAATAATAATAATAATAATAATAATAATGTTGCTAATATTCTTCATTGACCCCATGTCTCTACACTTTTAGTCATACACCCCTAACTTCTTCAATTATCTCTACTTCTAACCTTCCAACATAATCATCAAAATACATCATAGGATCATCAACACATATAAGCACATCTTATCATCTATTTTATTCCAATAAAATAATTCTAATTAAATTGGGGTGTTACAATTCTCTCCCACATAGAATATTTTCGTCCTCGAAAATTACCTGAGGCAAATAACTCTGGATAAGCCGCTCGTATCTTGCTCTCTAATTCCCACTTGACATTCTCTCTGGCAGCTCCACCCCAAACCAATTTCACAAGAGAGATCTCTTTTCCTCTCAGATTCTTTACCTCTCGATTCTCGGTCCTCTCAGGTACGGTTTCAACACTAAGATCATCCCACACTTGTATATCATCCATTGCAATTACATACGACCGATCAAAAATATACTTTCGGAGTTGTGACACATGGAATACATCATGTAAATTCGACATATTAGGTGGCAAGGCCACTCTATACGCAATAGTCCCCACCTTTTCTGAAATTTAATACGAACCAATAAACCGAGGAGTCAACTTCCTTGACTTCAAAGCACGTCCTACACTGGTTATCAGCGATACTCTCAAGAATACACGATCTCCTTCTTGAAACTCAAGGTCTTTTCTTCTCTTATAATGGTAACTTTTCATCTACTCTGCGAGGCTCTCTTCTTCTCTTGGATCATCTTCATTTTCTATGTAGTTTCTCGTACGATTTCTGGTCCAAGTACTACATTTTCACCATATTCATACCAACATAATGACGTCTTGCACCTCCGACCATATAACGCCTCGAAAGGTGCCATACCAATACTCGAATGGAAACTATTGTTGTAGGTGAACTTAATCAATGGAAGGAAACTATCTCATGTACCTCCTTGCTCAAGAACACAAGCTCTAAACAAATCTTCTAGTGACTAAATAGTCCTCTCCGTCTGACCATCTGTATGTGGATAATATGCAGAACTCAATTTCAGCTTTGAATCCAACGCATCCTGCAAACTCTTCCAAAAATCAGGAGTAAATCTCGGATCCCTATCCGACACCACACTGGATAGAACACCCTACAACTTCACAATTACCCGAATATAAATCTCTGCCAACTTCGATACAGGAAAATTAATACCGATCGGAATGAAGTGAGCTGATTTCGTTAATCTATCAACAATCTCTTGGAGTACTTGGCATCCCTTTCACAAAGTCCATAGATATACTATCCCATTTCCACTCTGGAACTTCTAAAGGTTCCAAAAGCCCTCTAGGTTTCTGATGTTCAACTTTCGACTTCTGACAAGTCAAACATGCATACACGAATTGTGCCACATCTCGCTTCTACCCGGACCACCAAAATAACTTCTTTAAGTCATGATACATATTGGTAGCTCCCGGATGAATACTCAAACTGCTTCTATGGCTCTCTTCCAGAATCATCTTCCTCATTTCAGCATCATCAGAAATACAAATTTTGTTTTGGAATCTCAACACACCTTGAGCATCTACTTTAAAGTCATTGTCTCCAGATTTGTTACTCTCGACCATCAAATCTACCAAATTAACATCTAACTTTTGAGCTCCTTTAATATTATCTAAGAAGTCATTGTTAATTTTCAACATCCCCAACATCGCACTTCGTTGTGACACTTCATAGACCAAACTCATGTATCTGAATTGTTTGATCAATTCTAGTTCTCTAACCATCATAGCAGACATATGCAAAGTCTTTTGACTCAAAGCGTCGGCTACAACATTGGCTTTAACTGGATGATAATTCAAGCCAAAGTCATAGTCCTTCAATAATTCCAACCATCTCCTCTGCCTCATCTTCAATTTCTTCTGATCAAATAGATACCACAAGCTTTTATGATCACTAAACACTTCAAACCTAGAACCATAGAGGTAATGTCTCCAAATCTTCCACACAAACACCACTGCAACTAAT